TCTGTCATGTTTTTTTGTCTCCGCATCTTTTATGCTTCTTGGTGCACCCCCTTGTGGTCTTTGTGCGCAGTCTTGTTCTAGTTAAGCCTTAATTGTTGTAGTTAATACTAGAGGGATTTGACCACCAGGCTGACTGGCTGTGAGAATCAGCTGTATGGAAAACTTCTGTCCTCTGGAGAGGTGCTACTCTAGCCTTTGCCTGAGGCGATCGGCAAATGGCTCTGCACAGGGCTTGGGCGGGGCGGGATCAACAGGGCGGGGGGAGGGAGCAGTTATGGCCGCTCTCAGTCCGTCCCCGGAGGCTCTGCCTCTCTGTCCCAGCAACCGCTGCAAACCTCGGAGGGACCGTAGCCAGACAGTCTCGCTTCTCCCGTTTGAGTCTGGGTCCCTAGAGACTCGCCCGGATCTGTAGCCCAGAGTCTGAGACTCCCTCCTGATTGAAAACGACAACCGCGCCCTCAGCCACCAGCCCGCTTTGCGCGCGCACCACCGTACCTTTAAATTTTCCACACTGCGCCTCCTCTGGGCCTCGTAATGCTGTTCTCTTTCCTTCTAGTTGAAGAGTCTCTCCTCAGCCAGCTTTCCTGTGGTTCTGGGTGATGTCTGTTCCGTCTTTTAGTTGTATTTTTGAAGTGGTTGTTTGCGGCAGCAGTCTCCGGTGTTTACCTATGCCGCCATCTTTGGAGGCAAACTTTCCACTTCTGGAAATAGTCTCTGCAGACAAGCAAATATGATTATGTATTATTTTTAAATATAAATAGTAAAACAGTGTATAATCTGTCCTTTGCTTTTTCACTTAATATGTCATGAAGATTGTCCCATATTGTCCATAAAGCACTTTCTTATTCTTTATGTGTATAACAGGCTATCATTGAGTGAATATGCTTTAATTTGTTAGCAACCCAAGTACATGCCCTTGACCGGAATCGAACCCGGGACCCTTCGGTCCGCAGGCCGACGCTCTATCCACTGAGCCAAACCGGTTTCGGCATGATTATGTATTATTTTTAAATATAAATAGTAAAACAGTGTATAATCTGTCCTTTGCTTTTTCACTTAATATGTCATGAAGATTGTCCCATATTGTCCATAAAGCACTTTCTTATTCTTTATGTGTATAACAGGCTATCATTGAGTGAATATGCTTTAATTTGTTAGTTCATTAGTGAACATTTACTTTTTTTACCCTTTTACTATTTTAAACAGTGCTACAGTGAATGACACCATAAGCGTTTTATTTTGCACATGGATGAGTATATATGTTATGAATCCTAGAATGCAATTGCAGGTCCAGAATGTACAAAGCATGTATAATTTTGTCAGGTATTGTCAAGCTGTAGAAGTGGGAACAATTTACTCTCCAGTATTTGGTGTTTGATAATACACTAAGTGAAAAATGTTATTTCAGAGTAGTTTTATTTTACATTTCTCTTATCCTGAGTAAGGTAGAGCATCTTTTCATACGTTTAAGAACTATTTGTGTTTCTTTTTGCGTAAAGCAGCCATATCTATGCCTGTTTTTCTACTGGTTTGGGTTATTTTTCCTTATTGGTTTGAGAACTAATTTTTAACATATTAGGTAAATTAGTGCTATACGGGTGGTATGAGTTGCAAAAAGTTTGTCAGGTGTGTTTTTTTAAGCTCTCATAGGGGACAGGTTTGGCTGAGCGGAAAGGCCAAAAGTGAGGGAACTGCCTCACTGAACTTCACTTACTCAGAGACCTTTAACAGATCCAGGAAATCTGTGTAACATTTTTGAGATAACATTAACTCAGCTTTTCGCAGTTTTCCTTAACACTAGATTAAACGGAAGCTTTCCCATATAGTATTTCTTATAGTTAACTTCTTAGGAGTCCGTGTGTGTGTGTGTGTGTGTGTGTGTGGTGGGAAAAGGTGTGACATTTAAGCTGTCATTTTTGGGGCTGACATGTGCCTGGGAGAGTGACTCTGGTTTGTCTTTCAGGTCGAAAGTGTGTCTGCTGGGAACTCTCCACCAAACGACAAGGACAGCAGTGCTCTTCTGGCTTTCAGAGGAATTCCTGTACATATTGCACACACTTTAGTACCTCCCACCACACAAGTGTTGGTTGCATGCCATTAGGTGGTGCCAGGAACCCATGACACAGGATGGCATAGACCCTGCCCTCCAGGAGCTCATACTGAGGGGAAGAGGTGTGGGGCACAAACAAGCAAAAACAAACTCTGTCTAGTAAGATAATTGCTCTAGTGAAGCAAAATGTAAAGTGCAACGGGAATACCAAAGGCTCACCACAGTCTCATTGAATTGTGTGGATTTTGGTTGTTTACTATTCATGGAAGGCATACATGTCCCCACATCACTCAACTTGTGCATCAGAGTTGGAGCTTTCCAAGTGCCTCTCTTTAAGATTGGCTTTAATCAACTCATCAAGGTAGACTAGCTCCTTCTGGCCTCCAGTTTCAAGGATATTCAGTACCATGGGTGGGGTTGGGGGGACATCGATCTACCCTTACACTAAAGATCACTGCCCTGCAGATCTCGGAGTTGAAGAACCACAGCCTCCTCCGGGCCCTGACAACAGAAGCTAATGGATGGGCGCCAGGTGGTAAGTCCCCTTCAGGGCCCTTGGAGCCTGGCTGGGGCCCAAGTCAGAGCTGCCCATGGATCTGCTTTTCATCACTTGAATTTCTCACTACTTGTCCTACAGAATTTTGCAGATTTATCATTATTCAAGGAAAATTAGAATCAACACTGGAGGAGTCACAAGATCTGAGTTATAATTTAGCCCCAATAGCCCTGCTAGTGACTATGTGCCTTTGGGCAAATCATATAATCTCTGTGTCTACAGTAGAAATATTAAAACCTCCTTTATCCTCAAAAGGATATTACGGCCCTGACCAGTTTGGCTCAGTGGATAGAGCGTCAGCCTGCGGTCTTAAGGGTCCCAGGTTCGATTCCGGCCAAGGGCATGTACCTTGGTTGTGGGCACATACCCAGTAGGGAGTGTGCAAGAGGCAGCTGATCGATGTTTCTCTCTCATCGATGTTTCTAACTCTCTACCCTCTCCCTTCCTCTCTGTAAAAAATCAATAAAATATATTTTTTTAAAAAAGGATATTATGATAATGAAATAAGACAGTATATGCAAAAGGGCTTTGAAAAAGCATCCTATTTTATCTGCTTTACATGGTTCTTTCCTACATTACGGGGTGGGCAAAAGTAAGTTTACAGTTGTTCGTATGGAAAATAATACAATAATCTATATATATAAAAGCCTAATATGCATATTGTCCCCTCGGGAGTTCAACCGGGAGACCAGGAGTTCAATTGCTCGCTATGACGTGCACTGACCACCAGGAGGCGGTGTGGAACGAAGGGAGGCCCCAGCTGGCAGCCGGCTGGCCCCAATCGGCCCTGATCGCCAGCCAGGCCTAGGGGCCCTACCCATGTACGAATTTCGTGCACCGGGCCTCTAGTCTATATATATAAAAGCCTAAGCAACTGGCCAACTGGCTGGTAGCTATGATGCACACAGGCCACCACGGGGCAGACGTTTAACACAAGAGGGGAAACCACAGGCATGGAAACATGGAACAGACTGATGAATTTCGGAGGGACGAGGGCAGGAAGAGATTAACTAAAGATCTTATATGCATGCTAGAGGCCCTCGGCCTGGCCTGTGTGTGCCCTCTCGCAATCTGGGACCCCTCGGGGGATGTCAGAGAGCCGGTTTTGGCCCAATCCCTGCAGGCCAGGCCGAGGGGCCCCACTGGTGCACAAATCCATGCACCGGGCCTCTAGTTGATAAATAATAATACAAGTATAAACTTTGTTTTGCATACTTACAATTATAAACCTACTTTTGCCCCACACTTTTTTGTGGGGTTGTTGTTTTTTGTTAATCCTCACCAGAGGATATGTTTCCCAATGATTTTTAGAGAGAGTGGAAGGGAGGGAGGAAGGGAGAGAGACATAGATGTGCAACACACCCATTTACAACCTAGGTATGTGCCCTTGACTAGGAATTGAACCTGCAACCCTTTGGTGCATAGGCTGGTTCCCTAACCATTGAGCACACCAGCCAGGGCGAAGGGGGTTTTTTGTTTGTTTTTTACCGTCCATGGTCGAGTATTTTGTATTCTGTTGAAGTTATCCAACTTGGAAGCCCTGAGGTTCTGTGTCTGCTGCCCCACCCAGAGTTTGGGACTGGCAAGATTGAGTTTCCGCCGAAACCGGTTTGGCTCAGTGGATAGAGCGTCGGCCTGCGGACTGAGGGGTCCCGGGTTCGATTCCGGTCAAGGGCATGTACCTGGGTTGCGGGCACATCCCCAGTGGGAGATGTGCAGGAGGCAGCTGATCGATGTTTCTCACTCATCGATGTTTCTAACTCTCTATCTCTCTCCCTTCCTCTCTGTAAAAAATCAATAAAATATATTTTAAAAAAAAAAAAAAAGATTGAGTTTCCCAGAGTTCCAGACATTCAGGACCCCGGACCTATCTCATCTGCCACCACTTCACTGCTCTGCTGGTCCCAAGCCCACGACTGTGTCCATAATATTAGCTAACATGTATTGAGCACTTACCTTTAGGCCACATATTCCCCGAAGAGGTCGAAGAGTTACATCATCCCAATAGTCCCATGAGTGATTACCAATGGTTAAGTAATTGGCCCAAAGAACAGCTAATAAGTGGTGGAGATGAACTGTTCACCAGCAATAGGCTCTAGAGCGGTGGTTCTCAACCTTGGCTGCACATTAGAATCACTAGAGTGTGCTTTTAGCAACCATCTGCTACCGCTTCCCAGCCGCTTGCTCTTCCTCATTATCCACTAGTGTTTTGAGTTCTTGATAGAATTTTATTTAATTTGCAAGTATACTTTCAAAACAGTTTGTCACGTGATGTCCTCAGCCATGAGTTCAAGGCAGAGAGGAATTGTCCTAAACTGCTTTTACCACTGCGTCTGGAGGGATCACAGTTTTTGGTATTTAACTGAAGTCTCTTCATCCTTTCCACTATTTGTTGAGGTCCTCCATAGCAAATGGGAAAAACCAGTGACAGGATGCTACTAGCAATTTGGGCCAGAGAGTGGCAGCTGTGGTTTGGAGAAAAGGGCCATGTAGTGGCTATAGAGAGCCTATCCTGCTGTTTCTTTTCCTTCTCCTTTTCCCCCCTCTTATCATGCTTTATTCATTCATCAAATATTGAGCACATGTTATGTGTCAGGCACTGTACTAGGTTCTGGAGAGCCCCACTCTCATGTAGCTCCCAGTGCAGTGGGAAAGATGGTCCCACACTGATAAGTCATCCAGGTGAGGGTGATAATCAGAATTAACTGAAGGATGAGAAGGAGTTACACCAGAAGGGGTTGCAATTGGCGGGGCTTGCTGACTATCGGCAGAGGGAGAGCAGTCTGTGCCACGGCACTGAAGGTGGGAAGTATAGAGAAACTCTAGGTATCCTTTACGTCCTACAGCAGAGTTAGGTACAAAGGGTTCAGATTGTGAGAGTACTTAGATGCTATGCTAAAGAGTTGAGTTTTACCTGGAGAGTTATGGAGGATCCCTGGAGGGTTTTGACCAGGGGAGCCAGGGTGGGACGTCAGATCTGCCTTTCCGAAAGCTCATCCTGGCAGCCTCGTAAAGAGGGTATCTGAGGGCAACAGGACCCAAGGCTGGGGGCTGACAGTGATCCAGACCACCCCGAGCTCAGAGGGTCTCCTTTTCTTACCGTTGCAGTTGTGAGCCCCGAGGTGCTCAGAGCCCAGGAAGAATGGGAAGCCGTGCAGAACATCCAGCCAGAGACAGGTAACTGCAAGAATAGCACTATCGCCACACAATCTGCTGCTGGTAAAGGCACTGTCCACACATGAGGCTAATGTTTCTGTGGCTCTGAGATTAGGAGACAGTTCCTAAATGGTCCTATTTTGGCTGTGTGCAATAGAATAAAAACTCCAAATCTAAAGACGACTTTCTGGGAGAAATGGGAATGAATGCCATGGGGAAAGGGCTGCCATCTACCCAGCTCTGAGAGAAGTCATGGAGGACCTTGGCATGGTCAGCTTCTGTAGGGAGATGAGGTTAGCAGAAGGATGGAGGCGGGCAGCTGGGGCCCCTGCATAAGGCTGAGCAGGTTGTTCACTGTACAAGGAAATCCCTGGAGTGGGGCTGAAGCCATCTGCTGGAAGGCTCTGAGCTTGGTAAAAATCGTCTCTCATCTCTTTCTGAGAGCTCCAGGACAGCAGAACTAGGACCATATGGGAGAGACTACTGTTAACTGGCAAGTTAATTCCCTGTGGACTGGAACAAAGGATGGAGAGAGGGCCATTCATATGTAGGGTGTGAGAAGGGGCAAAGTAGGAATTAGGAAATACCCCTAAGCAAAACTGTGGCACACTCTTATGTGTGTACCTACTCCAGTCAGTGACACCCCCTCCCAGATGAGTGGAATTTAGGGAGCCCCTGAGGGGCAGATGTATCCCTACTCACAGCATAGATTGGCTTGCAAGCCTCTGACCAGCCTGGTGTGGAAGGGAAGTTGATCCAGCAGCTTTGGGTGTCTGATGTTTACAGCTGGAATCTGAGCTTAGCGGTGACAACTAGAAGGCCTCAGTGAATGGCTGCTGACACTGACTACTGTTACAAACCTGGGGTTTCTGCCTCTTCCCTTTGGCCACAGGAAGCCAGACAGACCAGCCTGCGCAGCTAATCTCCTTCAGTGAGGCCCTGCAGCATTTCCAGACCATCGACCTCTCCTCCTTCAAGGTATGACATAGGGACGTTTGGGATCTCCAGCAAAGCACTTCTTCCCAGGAGCCAGATTTCTATCCCACCAGGACAGGGCACTGGGCAAGCAGATGGAAGCTTCTAGTTGAGGGTCCTATCTCACCTAGAAAGATCTTGGGGTACAGGGTCGTGGCTGCCAAAGACCCTTGTTGCATGCAGGGTCCCAGTGGCCTTTCTGGACCTGTGCCCCAGAGCTCCGGTGGCCCTGTCATACAGAGGTCCATGTAGCTGCTCCCTGCTCTTCCTTCTTAGCGATGGGAGGTCTGGAATCAAGTGCTAGGTAGTTCCTTGAAGCAAGGCAGCCTGTCCAGAGCTGAGTAATTAATGGCTAATGTAGGAAAATCTTCCATTCTCTCAAGGTATTAGAAGCTATCTGGGAATTTTAAAAATATGTAAGATTGGAAAAAGAAAGAATCCTGTATAATAAAAGGTAATATGCAAATCTACTGAACGGTGGAACGACTGGTCGCTATGACGCACACTGACCACCAGGGGGCAGATGCTCAATGCTTCCCCCACCAGGAGCTTCCCCCTGGTGGTCAGTGCACTCCCACAGGGGGAGTGCTGCTCAGCCAGAAGCCAGACTCATGGCTGGTGAGCGCAGCAGTGGTCCTAGACTGCAAGAGGGCGCAGGGGGTCCTAGACTGCGAGAGGGCGCAGGCCGGGCTGAGGGACACCCCCCACCCCCACAGTGCATGAAATTTCGTGCACTGGGCCTCTAGTATTGAGAATAAAAGCTGGCAAGCTTTCTGGGGCATCTTGAGTGACCAGTAGTAAGTTTAGAGGAATGTGATTTCAGATCTTGTACCTAAAACCTGGCTCAATAGAGAGACTGCGAAGATAGGAATCAGGTTGCCAGAAGCTACCCAGATCAGTTTGTTCTAAGTCCCTGGCAGTGGCTCTGAGCAATGAGAAGTCAGCATGACCTGGTTTAGGAAGTGCTGGTTGTGGTGGTAGCAGAAGGCTTTAGCTCCCCTCAGAGGTATCCAGCTTCAAAAAAGTCTCCACTCAACTTCTGTCCCCACTGGCTGTCTCATCCTGGAATTTGAGAGTGGTTCTAGACTTTATAAATTACGTCCTTTATGGAGAGAGACAGAGGCAGGCATACAAAGGCTATGCAGAAGCAGCCCTGCTAGGAAACCTGGTCTGGTGTTTGTGAGACCACCTGGGGGAGTCCCCACAGCCAGCCTCCTTGACAGTCGATGGAATAGCTAGTTCTGGAAGAGCCCGAAAGACCAAATGTACACGACTGATAATGCTTGGGGACATGTCTCTTTATTTACAAAGGACTTAAGAGCTGAGAGAGCCTGTCTCCAGAGATTCCACAGATGCTTCACAGCGTCTGCCCCCTTTCCCTGGCCCAGAGACCAGCCACTTAATTGGGGGAACTATGTCTTTCTGCAAGAACAGTCCCTGTGCTCAGCCTAATGATAAGTTCATGAAAGCGGGTGGACCCAGCATGCTACCCATTACCTGCAACTTTCTCCCCAGAAAAGAATCCAGCCAACAATTCGAAGGACTGGGCTTGCCGCCCTCCGGCACTGCCTCTTCGGGCCTCCAAAGCTCCACCAGGGCCTCCGTGAAGAAAGGGACTTGGTCCTGACCATTGCTCAGTGTGAGTGCACTGGTGCTGCCACAGAGCAGGTGCTGCATGAGGTCAGGCAGAGAGCACTGCTTGCCCACCCTGTGACTAAGCCTCACCCAAGGGTCTTGCATTTTCCATGTTGACGTGGGGAGCAGGGACTGAGAGGTAAAAGTCTGGGAGAACAGGGTGTCTTGAGTACAGTCTGGATCTATCTTGAGAAGCACTTGGTCTTCCCTTGAAGGGCAATCCAACAGAAACATGGGTGTGTTTTGGGGCAGGTGGCCTGGATAGCCGAGACCCAACACATGGTCGAGTCCTCAAGACCATCTATAAGAAGCTGACCGGCTCCAAGTTTGACTGTGCCCTCCACGGCGATCACTGGGAAGATCTGGGCTTTCAGGGTAAGAGAGAGGAATGGTTCATCTTCTTTTCTTGGACCCCTGATTCCAGGACTAGAGAGAGAGACCAGCACCATGCGGAGGGGTATCTGGGAAAGCCTTCCAGGAAGAGGGTAGAGCAAATGCAAAGGCACTGGCATGAAGCTTGCTTGCCTCTGTCAGAGAAACAGCGTGGCTGACGTGAGAAGAGAGTGGCAGGAGAAACGCTCACTCGTGGCCGTGCAGACCATCGTCAAACACTCTGGGGTGGAAACCACTGAGTGATATGATTTGGAATCTGTTTTTTTCTTTTTCCTCTTTGCCACTAATATTGATGAAAAGTTTGTTTTATTTTATTTTATTTTGAGTGAAACAAAATTATTTCACCTGCTTTTGGATTGTGCTACTCTTTTTTCAAAATCATACCAAATTACACTTGTATAGAATAGGGAAAATATCTTAATTTTAAAAGGAAACTTTATATACCCATAATTAATTAACAGTCTGTTGGTGTTGACAACATGTTTAAGTCCATCCTCCCTCATGTATAATTGTCTAAAATATGTCCTCTATAAACACTGAAAATCATATGAGTGTTTGATTTTTGTTTCAACCATTAAACAACTTAAGAATCTCAAGAGGAGAAGCAAAATCCATTGTATTTACTTTTCCATTGTTCTTTTTTCCTTTCTGATATTCCGCGATTCCTTTTATCATTTCATTTCTGTTTCAAAACATCCTTTAGGCATTTTCTTATCTAGGTCTACAGGTGATAAATTCTCTTACCCAATCTGAACAATGAGAGAAACAAGTCATCTGAGAATGACTTGATTTCCCCTTTACCCCTGAAGGGTAGTTTTCCTGGATATTGAATTCCATGTTGACAGTTCTTTTTCAGCACTTGGTAAATGTGCTACTGCCTTTTGGGCTTCGTGGTTTCTGATGAGAAAGCGCTGTCATTTTTAAAAATATGTTTTTATTGATTTCAGAAAGAGGAAGGGAGAGGGAGAGAGAGAGAGAAATATCAATGATGAAAGAGAATCATCCATCTGCTACCTCCTTCATGCCCCCTACTGGGTATCTAGCCCGAAACCTGGGAATGTTCCCTGACCAGGAATTGAGCCATGACCTTCTAGTTCAGTTCACCTAGCAACACCAGCCAGCAAGCAACTGTCATTTGAATTATTTCTCCCTGATAGTTAAGGGGTTGTTTTTCTCTCTCTCTGTTTTCCAGATTCTTATTTTTTGGTCTTTAGTTTGCAGCGTTTTGATTATGAGGTGTCTTAGTGTGGATATCTTTCACCTTATTCCATTTGGGGTTTACCCAGCTTCTTGGATCTGTAGGTTTTATGTCTTTTGCCAAATTTGATAAATATCCACTCATTATTACTTTTGAGTACTTTTTTCAGCCCCACACTTTGTCCTCTCCTGTGGGACTCTGATGGCACAAATGCTAGGTCTTTTGTTATTGCTCCACAGGCTCTGTCTATAGCTCATGGATCTCTGAAGTGCTCCTCATTTTGTTTTGTTTTTCCCCTCGTTCAGATTTTGTAATTTAAATTGTTCCATCTTCAAGGTCACTGATTCTTTTCCTGTTATAGCTATTCTGCTGTTGAGCCCATCCAATGGGTTTTTTATTTTAGTTATATTTCTTTACTGAGACTTTCATTTCTTTTCTAAGTATGTTAGTAATTGCTTATCAAAGGTTTAGTAGCTATAACAACACAAATAGGGGAGTTCTGTCGTTCGGAAATCTAACCAGGTCTCACTGGGGTAAGATCAAGGTGACAACAGAGCTGCACCTTTTTTGGGGCTTCAGGAGAGACTCTGTTTCCTTGTCTTTTTCACCTTCTAGAGCAGTAGTTCTCAACCTTCCTAGTGCCCTGACCCTTTAATACAGTTCCTCATGTTGTGGTGACCCCCAACCATAAAATTATTTTTGTTACTACTTCATAACTGTAATTTTGCTACTGTTATGAATCGTCATGTAAATATCTGATATGCAGGATGTATTTTCATTGTTACAAATTGAACATAATTAAAGCATAGTGATTAATCACAAAAATAATATGTAATTATATATGTGTTTTCCGATGGTCTTAGGCGACCCTGTGAAAGGGTCATTCAACCCCCAAAGGGGTTGCGACCCACAGGTTGAGAACCACTGTTCTAGAGGCTGCCTGCATTCCTCCTTCATAGCATTTCTCTGAGCCCGATTCTATTCTCACATCTTTTTCTGACTTTGTTTCTGCCTCCCTCTTTCACTTTTTACATTGGGCCCTTCAAGATAATTTAGGGTAATTTTCTTATCTGCTAATTAGCAACCTTAATTCTACCTGCAATCTTAATTCCCCTTGGCCTGCAACATTACATATACATAGGTTGTGGTGATTAGGGCAGGAACAGTTTTGCAGTGGCCATTATTCTGCCTACAGCAGCTGCTTAAAAACCTTTATCTGGTGTTGCTATTTAGTGATTACCTTTTCTCATCCAAATTGTGATTTTCTTTGTGCAACTAAGGATTTTTTTATTGTGTCCTGAACATTTTGGGTATTGTGTAATGAGACTCTGGATCTTCTTTAAGTCTTCTATTTTAGCAGGCCTCCTCTGATACTGAGCCAATGGGGGAGGAGGCTGTGACCTCATTACTGTCAGATGGGGTGGGAACCCAGTTACCCCACTTGACCTCCACTGGTACCACTGGCTGGGAAGGGCAGAGGTGCCTCATTACTGTTCCCGTGTGGCCTCCACTGACGTCCACTTCACTTCCAGTGCCACCAGAGGGAGGGGCCTCCTTAGCACCAGGAAGGGATGAAGTCCCACTTCTCTGATTGCCCTGCTAAGGGGTGTCTTGTTACAGTCTAGGCTCTCCACTTGGCCTATAACTAAGTCATTGATGCTCCTGGCAGCAGGCATTTCATTAAGTATTGCTCTCATCACCCTCATCTTCCTCCTGGTTTCTGCTATAGGAGCAAATCCAGCCACAGACCTTAGAGGAGCCGGCTTCCTTGCCCTCCTGCATCTGCTGTACCTGGTGATGGACTCAAAGACCTTGCTGATGGCCCAGGAGATTTTCCGCCTGTCTCATCACCATATCCAGGTGGGGCTTTGGTGGGGAGCCAGCAGAGAGGGCTGTGGAGCTAGGACCTGGGCTCAGGGCTCTTTGAGCAGCCCGGCGGGCCTCCCAGGTAAATCTCTCTCATTGCTGAGGGCTCTTAGGACAACTGCGGCAAACCAGGATTGGTCTTCCCTGTCAGTGCTGGGATCTGAGCTCTAGCACTCATTAGCATGAGTCTCAAGCATTGCCCCAATTCCCCAGAGCCTCAGTTTCCTCATCTGTAGAATGGAAATCATGGAAACCTCAGCAGGGTAGTCGGAAAAATTAAAGGAGATAATGTACAAAAGCACTAAGTGACTCACCACCCTCCCAGGGAAATCCCTGAGTCTGAAGGAAAAGAGTCCACTTTGTGTGCCCCAGAGGAGGTTTGCCTCTGGGTCAGGAGTTACTGACAGGCCAGAAGTGGCTTTTGTAGCCCTCAGTCTCTGTCCAGGTCTGCTCTCTGGGGTTGGGTTTGATGGTTTTCCCAGTTAGTAAAAGGTGGTAGGTAGTCCCTTCATTTTAGAAAATGAATTTGACCTGTTTCTTGCCATGCATCTCTCAGTTTTGTGGGACCTGGAATTCATTCACTAAACAAATATTTATTCAGCCACCTCCTGTGCTAGTTATTTTTCTTGAAGCTTGAGATACATCAGTGAGCAAAACAAACAAAGATCCTTCCAGCAGAGAAGACAAGACAGTAAGCATAATACATACACTAATGGTAGGACATGTTAGAAGGTGATGCATGTGCTAAGGAAAAAGCACAGATGGGGTAAGGTTTGGAGAATGTGGGGAGGGAGTTGCAGTATTTTAGGGGATGGTCAAGGTAGCTCCCGTGAGAGGGCAAGACCTAAACCAAGCCTTGAAGAGGTGAGGATGTTAGCCAAGCTGGTTTCTGGGGGAAGAGCATTCCACACAGAGGGAACAGCTACAGCACAGGTCTTGAGGAGGGAGTGTCTGCATGTGAAGGAATAGCAGGGAGGCTGGCTGGAGCGGAAGGAGGAAGGGAGGGCAGGAGGGAAGGAGGTCAGAGGGTAATAGGGACCAGATGGCATAGTGCCTGGTAGGTACGATGAGGGCTTTTGATTTTACTCTAAGCAAAAAGAGGGTTTTCAGCAGCCTGGAGTACACGATCCAACTTGAAAGGTTTAAATGGATCCTACCAGGTGGAGAATAGTCTAGGGAAGCAATTTTTAACTGATATGCCACAAGAATTTTTAAAACATGTCATACCTATTTAGTCAGGGGCACTGACTCTTTTTCCTTAGGTTCTCAAATAAAAATAAAAAAATGACAACAGCCAACACAACAATAGCCATTTGGTGTGAATGAATCAAAACTATACCTTTGTCAGATCGGCAAACAGTGCAGTAATATATTTTTTGGTGTGCTGCAGAATTTTAGTAATTAGTTTATGTGTGCCACAAGATGAAGAGGTTGAAAATCTCTGGTCTAGGGCTTTACAATCAAGTTGTAGATGATGGTGGTGTGGAGGGTCTTCTCAGATGAGGTGGCGTGAAGTGTTCAGATGCCAGATATAGAATCTTTTTTTTTTAATTAAATCTTTATTGTTCAGATTATTACAGTTGTTCCTCTTTTTATCCCCCATAGCTCCCCTCCACCCGGTTCCCACCCCACCCTCTGCCCTTACCCCGCCTCCACTGTCCTCATCCATAGGTGTATGATTTTTGTCCAGTCTCTTCCTGCACCCCCCCACACCTTTTTCCCCCTGAGAATTGTCAGTCCACTCCCTTTCTATGCCCTTGATTCTATTACAGAGGTGGGCAAACTTTTTGACTCGAGGGCCACAATGGGTTCTTAAACTGGACCGGAGGGCCGGAACAAAAGCATGGATGGAGTGCTTGTGTGAACTAATATAAATTCAAAGTAAACATCATTACATAAAAGGGTACGGTCTTTCTTTTTTTTTTTTAGTTTTATTCATTTCAAAACGGGCAGGATCCGGCCCGTGGGCCGTAGTTTGCCCACGGCTGTTCTATTATATTCACCAGTTTATTCTGTTCATCAGATTTTTTTATTTACTTGATTTTTAGATTCACTTGTTGATAGATATGTAATTGTTGTTCATAATTTTTATCTTTACCTTTTTCTTCTTCCTCCTCTTCTTAAAGAATACCTTTCAGAATTTCATATGATACTGGTTTGGTGGTGATGAACTCCTTTAGCTTTTTCTTATCTGTGAAGCTCTTTATCTGACCTTTAATTCTGAATGATAGCTTTGCTGGGTAAAGTAATCTTGGTTGTAGGTTCTTGCTATTCATCACTTTGAATATTTCTTGCCACTCCCTTCTGGCCTGCATAGTTTCTGTTGAGAAATCAGCTGACAGTCATATGGGTGCTCCCTTGTAGGTAACTGACTTTTTTTCTCTTGCTGCTTTTAAGATTCTCTCTTTGTCTTTTGCTCTTGGCATTTTAATTATGATGTGTCTTGGTGTGGTCCTCTTTGGATTCCTTTTGTTTGGGGTTCTCTGCACTTCCTGGACTTGTAAGTCTATTTCTTTCACCAGGTGGGGGAAGTTTTCTGTCATTATTTCTTCAAATAGGTTTTCAATATCTTGCTCGCTCTCTTTTCTTCTGGCACCCCTATAATTCGGATGTTGGTTCGCTTGAAGTTATCCCAGAGGCTCCTTACACTATCTTCATATTTTTGGATTCTTTTTGCTTTTTGCTTTTCCTGTTGGGTGTTTTTTACTTCTTCGTATTTCAAATCTTTGACTTGATTCTTGCGATCCTCTAGTCTGCTGTTGGATCTCTGTATAATATTCTTTATTTCAGTCAGTGTATGCTTAATTTCTATTTGGTCCTTTTTCATAACCTCGAGGGTCTCACTAGATTTATTGAGGGTCTCACTAAATTTATCGGTGGTTTCTAGAAAATTCTTGAAAAACCTTATAAGTGTGGTTTTGAACTCTATATCCAGTAGTTTGCTTTCCTCCATTTCTGTCATTTGTGACCTGTTTCTTTGTCTCTGCATTTTTTATGCTTCCCTGTGTTGATAGAGTGGCTTTCTGTGCTAGGTGTCCTATAGGGCCTAGTAGCTCAACCTCCCCAATTACCTGAGGTGGACACTCTTGGTGCAGCTGTTTGTGGACTTTGTGCACAGTCTTGTTGTAGTTAAGCCTTGATTGTTGTAGGTACCACTGGGAGGAATTGACCTTCAGGCCAATTGGCTGTGAGAATCAGCTGTGTCTATGGTGGGAGAACTTCTGTGCTGGAGACACCCTTATAGGGCAAGACTTGCCTCAGTGGGGCTTTGGTGCTCACTGAGTCTGCCCCCTGAGTGCGTCCCTTATGGATCTGAGGAGTTGTAATCTGGATGGTCCCTCTCTGACCACTGGGTACACTGGCTCTTGGATCTCTAAGGAGGTGCTAATTTAGCCTCTGCCTGAGGCTACCCAGCAGGAGCTATGGAGAGATCTGCAGATTCCCCTTCCTTGTTTGGGGTTTGGAGGTGCCCAGATGAGGCAATGCAAACTGTGAAGCAATGCAAGCTGCTGTGGGGCCTTGGGCCTTCTCTTGGAAGTTCTGGGTCTGTCTGGCCCAGCTGCAGTTTGTTAGGTAATTTTCAGATTGCAAAGGGCCAGGGCATTCATATGCAAAAGCCTCTGCTGCAGCTTGGGTGGGGCAGGGTCTCAGGGAGTCAAACAGGGCGGAGTAAGCAGCTATGGCTGATCCTCGGCCCTGCCCTAAGGGGCCCTGCGTCTCAGTGTCCCCGTAATCACTGCAAGCACCTTTGAGAGAAAGCAGCCCTCGAGTTCTGAGTTCTGCCCACTGCCAGACAGTCCAGTTTCTCCCCGTATGAGTCTGGGTCCCCAGAGACTTCCCGGAACTGGAGTTCAGAGCAGTCGGGAGCTTGTGACTCCCTCCCGATTCAAAAAGACAGCCACGCCCTCAGTTGCCAGCCCCTTTCCGCATGATCTCGAGCCTCCGTACCTCTGCACTTTACTTCTGCACCACACCTCCTCTGAGTCTCAGTGTGCTTTTCTCTTTCCTTCTAGTTGTAGAATTTCCACTCAGCCAGCCTTCCTGTAGTTCTGGATGATGTCCGTTTTGTCTTTTCGTTGTATTTTTGAAGTTGTTGTGGGAAGCAGCAATTTCCGGTGTTTACCTATGCCTCCATCTTGGTTCTCTCCTGGGCAGTTTTTAATTTCTAATGTTTATTATATGTCTCTATATCTTTTGGGGGGAAATACTCATTCAATCTTTTTTTAAATATATTTTTATTGATTTCAGAGGGGAAGGAAGAGGGAGAGAGAGATAGAAACATCAATGATGAGAGACAATCATCGATCAGCTGCCTCCTGCACGCCCACTACTGGGGATCAGGACCTCAATTCGGGCATGTGCCCTGACCAGGAATCAAACCGTGACCTCCTGGGTCATAGGTTGATGCTCAACCACTGACCCACCCGGGCACACTCATTAAATCTTAAGGCTTTACGTATGCCTGTCTATTCCAGGAAACACTGGAGGAGGCAAGAGTGGGACTTCATGAGTATCTGGTCTTGAGGTATATCGCTTGCTGGCCTTTGTGGCATTTACTGGGGATTTATATTTATTCCACAGGAACAGCAGCTTAATAAAAAAAGAGGGCTGGTGTAGGTGTCAAGAAGCTAGGTGCTAGTTCCATCTGCAATATTATTATTTAGCTGTGATTTGAGGCAAGTCTCTGAACCTCTGTTTGCTCTTTTATGAAATAACTAGAGGCCCAGCGCACAAAATTGTGCACGGGGCTGGGGGTGTCCGTCAGCCCAGCCTGCGCACTCTCACAATCTGGGACCCCTCGGATAGGGTCCCTAGGCCTGGGCAGGCCTATTGGGCTTTCCTTCCCCCGGCTGCTGCCACTGCTTGCCATCTGTGCAGCGCTGCCCACCCCCTCCCATGCTACCAGTCACCTCCCTCTGTGGGCGACAGGTGTGAGGTCTGATTGCTTGGCTGGCCTGGGCTTCCCTCTGCAGGGTGGTTGCTGGCTGCCCTGCACACCCGCCACAGCGTCACTGGCCAGTGGCCTGGGCCACCCTCTGTGGGGCAATCGATCGTGGGGGTCCCCAGATCGATCGACCCAAAGAGCGAGGCCCCACCCACCCGGCCAGGGCTCTGTGATTAGTCGCAGTGCAGAGGGTGGCTTGGGCCTCCTTCTTTGGGAAGATCAATCGCAGAGCCCCCCGCCCCCCATCGGTCTCCCCACAGAGGGTGACCTGGGGTAATTGTGGGGTGATGGCAGGGCCCCCCTCCAATTGCATTGCACCTGCCTTGGCTGGCCTGGTGCCAGTGCGTGTCATAGTGTGGTCGTCCAGACGGTCGTCCAGACGGTCGTTCTGCTGTCCGGTTGTTCAGTCAATTTGCATATTATGCCTTTATTATTATAGATTATTATAGATAAGGTTTGGCCTAAATAATTCTAAGATCCCATCTAGCTTTTTTAAAAAAAACATATTTTATATTGATTTCAGAGAGGAAGGAAGAGGGAGAGTGAGATAGAAACATCCATGATGAGAGAATCATTGATCAGCTGCCTCCTGCATGCCCCACACTGGGGATCGAACTTGCAACCCGGGCATGTGCCCTTGGCCGGAATCGAACCTGGGACCCTTCAGTCCACAGGCCAGCACTCTATCCACTGAGCCAAACTGGCTAGGGCTGGCTTTTTTTTTTTAAATATGTTTTTATTGATTTTAGAGAACTACGGGATTGGAACCTCCAGGGGGGGCCATGTCAGCTGTAGCCACTGAAGACCATCTGGGCTTCCTGTTCAGTTCTCAAAGGTGTTTAAGCATGAAGAGAAGTGAAACTTTAAATAGAAACCCAAAAATGCCCAGATCTGGTTTCCTCTGCTGTCTGCTAGTTCCCTAAACACAGCCTCACTGTCGTATTTTAGCTCAAAGGAACACTTTTCAGATCCAAAAGAACTACTGAAGGAACGGAGACATTGAGATCTGAATTCCAGTGAAAACTGCTTTTTAGTAAGTGAGCTTTAAATGAATGTTCCTGAGAGTGAATGAACACTAGGTTTAAATCTTCTCTTAATTATGTTGCTACCATATTCTTGTTCCCATATTTATCTTAGACTGAAAAAAATTAAGGGAAGGGGCGATATTATGCAAGTATATATAATTGAATGTGCAGTACAAGAAGGTATAACCCCCTGTCCAGCTGACTCAGTTGGTTGGAGTGTTTTCTCATACACCAAAAGGTTGTGGGTTCGATTCCCAGTCAGGGCACATACCTAGGTTGCATGTTTGATTCCTGGTCAGTGCGTGTACTGGAAGCAATTGATCGATGTTTTTCACATTGATGTTTCTCTTTCTCCCTCTCTTCCTTTCTAAAAATCAATAAAAACATATCCTCACGTGAGGATTTAAAAAAAAAGAAGAAAGAAGGTATAAATGCATTGCTGCTACCTCAGTCACACATCGAGGCAAAAATAATAATTATGAACATTTGTTAGCACCTACTTAGACTGATGCTGTACTTAGTATTTTGCATATGAGATCTAAATAACTCCTTAGAGCAACTCTGTGAGGTAGGTTGTGGGATAATAGAAAATGTCAACTGTGGATAATGAAACCTATCTCGTAGAATTTTTGTAATGATTAGTGTCTTGACTCCACCCAGCATGGCACTTGGGCAGGGTCCCCAGGAACCTCCAGGTTCTGTGATTCACTGGAGGGTTCACGGGACTTGGCAGAGAGGCACAGCCATGATTTAGTTGAGCCAGAGCAAAATCAGCCATGGAAGAAATACATGGGTCAAAATCCATAGGAAACCAGGTGCAGGCTTCCAAGAGTCCTCTCCCAGTGGAGTCACACAGGACACACTTAATTCCTCCAGCAAATAAAATGGTGCCAACCAGGGGAGCTCATTAGAAATTCAGTACCTAAGGTTTTTATTGGGGGGGTGGCCATGCAGGCCCCATCTGTAGCACATATCAGAATTCCAGAGTCACAGGGGAAGCAAGTGTGTAACATAAACCATATTATTTGCACAGTTTACACAGTGAGTCATCGTGAGGGAATGGCGAGCGTCTCGCACAACCCAAGCGCCCAGAGGCCAGCCAAGGGCTAACCTTGTATGCAGACCTATCTAAGGACAGCAGTCTCAGGCCGCTGTGTTAACTCAAAGTGCATTTCCCTTTTTATTTTGAGAGATGGGAAAGCTGAGTCTCAACGTTTGGGTGGCTTTAATGAGGACACACAGCTAGCAGGTGGCCAGGCCAAGATCTGGGACCCAGGTGTCATGGAAGACCCTGAGAAGAAGCTGGGTGGGGCCAGGAGACCCTCTACAGGCCAGGCAGTGATGTCCAATAGAACCTTCTAGATCTGCACTGTCCACTATAGCAGCTGAGCACATGTCGCTACTGAGCACTTGGAATCACGCTAGGATGAGCTAAAAAAGTGTTGCATTTTAGATTTTTTTAAATTTTGAATTTAAATTTAAATAGGTGCATGTGGTTAGTTGCTACCACACTGGACAGCACAGTATATCATAATGTAATGAGTTTTCTTCTCGGGGGAAGTAGATGGGATAAATAGACTGTGACTTGTTCTAAACTACGGAATGCACTGATCTATCCTCAGTGGATGCCCTTGTGTACGTGCAACAATGAAAACTAACATGTAACATTGGCACATTCCCTGCAAAATGTTTTTCATTTGCTTTTGCTTTTGTGTGTGTTTTTTTTTGTGTGTTTTGTTTTGTTTTGGTTATTAAATAGGAAGGAATTTGCTCCTCTAAAAATAAAGCTTTGAGGTGGGCCCTGCAGGGCATTCTGAGGCCCACCCTGGTGAAGTGCTGGTGGGACTCCATGCTACCTCTCGGGAATGCTCAGGCCTCTGCTACTGAGAGATGGGGTGTCCAGCAAGTCAAGGCTGACTTTCTGCGTACTTGCACCTTCTCTGTCTGATTTTGGATGAAGTGCTCTGAGCAAATAACCAGAAGCCCAGGGAAGGGAAGAGACTTTAAGAACCTGTATAGTTAGTTAGGTATCTGGGCCTCAGTCTCTCATGTTCATCCTAACCCCAGGGGTGATGTGGTCCCTGGCAGCACATGGGTAGGTCTGGTGAAGGCCAAAGAGAGCTCATGGGTTGGAATGTTGAAGAAGCGGGAGAGCTCCCCCAGGGCTTATGCAAACCAGGTTGGAGTGAATTAACCCAGTTAGAATCCTGGCTCGGCTGCCTTAAGGTATTTCACGAAGCTTCAGTATCCTCATCTGTGAGATGGGAGGATCACTGTGAAAACTAAGTGGAACAGCCATAACATCGCAGCTGCCTCTGGGCTGCGACTGTTATTGCCTGCAGGCCAGGCTGGGTGTGGGAGACAGGAAACACTGAAGGCAAGACCTGGGTTGCCACTGACCTGGTACCACTCCCATTCCAGCAATTCCCCTTCTGTTTGATGTCTGTGAATATCACCCGCATCGCAATCCAGGCCTTAAGAGAGGAGTGTCTCTCCAGGTGAGTCCTCCCACTGCTCACCCCCCCCCCCGCCCCCTCGACCCCACCGGCTGATGAGAAGGACCCAGCAGAGCCTGGTTCCCTCCGTCCCTGCCTCATTCTCCCCAGCTTTCTTCCTCACCTGCTGGCTTCTGGGGGCACTAGGCAACGTCCATGTGCACCAGTACCCATCTGCCAGCCCCTCCTCAACCCTGAGCTCAGATGTGAAGGCTGCCTGGGGAATGGCTCCCCGGGAGGGTAGTGGGGAAGGGCACCCAGGTGCCAGCCTTTGTCCATCACCTCCCTTCCTGCAGGGAGTGTAATCGGCAGCAGAAAGTGATCCCAGTGGTGAACAGCTTCTATGCTGCCACTTTCCTCCACCTCGCTCATGTCTGGAAGACGCAGCAGAAGACCATTGCAGACTCGGGCTTTGTCCTCAAAGGTGTGCTCTTTCTTCTGGGGAGACCTACCTCTTCCAGGGCGTCCCGGGCTTAGGGATCTCAGGGTGGTGACTAGACTGGGCTTGACTGCAGTTCCCTTTCAGCCCACCCTCTGGAGCCTGCTAGCTCTCCCTTCTCTGCCACCCCCTCCTCCCTTTCTGCCCTTATACCTGTGGTGATATTTTCTGAATCAAAAGCTGGGTCCGACAGTGGACTGACTATTCAAAGTTGCAATTGTCCTGGGCAAGGTAGAGTGTGTGGTCCCTGTGAACCCTGTGGTCCCTTGATCTCCCTCCATGGTGAGCTCCCCATCTTAGAGGTCTCTTTCACCTCTCTCCATAGGACCCAGGCTGGGGGTACTCCCTAGAGCTGCTGGGCCCTGGACTGTGTATCCAAAGCCCCCTCAAGCCTTTTGTTCCCAATGCTCTCTGTTCCAGACTTGGAAGTGTTGGCCAAGAAGAGCCCACGGCGGCTGCTCAAGACCCTGGAGATCTACTTGGCTGGAGTATCGAAGGGACAGACCTCCTTGCTGGGAGCACAGAAGTGCCGTGGGGCACCAGCCCCTCACTCCAAGGACCTCACTTTCACAGGCGTGTGTGACCTGCCACCACACTCATCCGAAGGCACTTGGCCGGTCTGACCACCGAGGCAAACCACATCAGGAACACCTGGCTGGACCACGCCCCTTCCCATCTCAGCAGAAGGGATGTGGAAGCTCCCAGGCCTGGTCAGGGAAGCCAAGGACCCTCCTTCTATTGGGACACAGGGGCAGTCAGACTTGACGCACTCCGTACAGATCTGCGTCCTTTGCTGTCATCTGAGTTGGGTTCCAGGTCATCTCGGTGAGAGTGAATGGATCGTGAGGTGGGAGAGCCCCACCAGGATGTTCCACACGCCCCCAGGTAGGGCTTTCAGACCCCTGGTGGCCATAGGACAGGGACCAGACAGGGACATAGAGTGTCTAGTTAGAATATGAAGGGAGGTGGCAGTGGCAGCAGCCAACAGGGGGCAGCATGAACAAGAGCAAGACACCTGAGGCCACAGCTGGGCCCGCCCTCCTCTCCTCCATCCACCAGGCCAGTAGAAGAACCCCTCTGGGGCTTCTGGCCTCCCATTTGTCCCACCTCCTCTCCTCCCCGCTGTTTACGGTACAGAGCAGGGCCTCTGGCTGAGTCTCCATTGCTGCCCGTCCTAGCTGCCTGCCAGCTGGGCTTCCCATGGAGGTTGTGCGGTGCCCATCACAGATGGTTTTCTAGCCTGGTTGGGGGAAGGAGGAAATCGGAAGTTATTGAATAAAAGAATTGTTCTGGGTTAAGGTTTCCATGTGTTTCCTCCAAGACAAGCCTTGTGCCTTCCCTGAGCCCTGCTAGAGCCCGGCACTCCTACCGGGTGAAGGCCCTGGCCAGGGCTCCTGGAGAGGACGCTGTGCCCTCACCAAACTCCCACTGAGTTCACGTGACGTCCACCCTGCACTTCTGGGTCCAGAGACTCTTACACTCTAACCAGTGGGCGAGGTAAGATTGACTGGTGTGCCCTAGCCAGTTTGGCTCACTGTATAGAGCATTGGCCCATGGACTGAAGGATCCCGAGTTCAATTCCGGTCAACGTACCTGGGTTGCAGGCTGAATCCCCGGCCTGGTCGGGTACATGCAGGAGGCAACCAATTGATGTGTCTCTCACATTGATGTTGCTTAGTGTCTCCCTCTCCCACTCTCTCTAAAAATCAATGGAAAAATATCCTTAGGTGAGGATTAACACCAAAAAAAGATGGACTGGTATGAAGTGCCCACACTGGTTTTTTCCCTGCATTTGTTTCTGGGGAAGCTGGCTGTTCCTTCATTCACAAAACAGCCTCCAGGCCAGGGAATCCTGACCTGGGGCAGGGGCCCCACTACACTGCTCTCCTGTCCTCTGCCCTCCCTCAGGTAGAGCGTGGAAGACCCTGTCTAGCCCCTGCAGGCCTCTCCAAGGCTGACCCTCTGGAGGTGGGGCCATCATAGGGGTGGGGTTGACACATGGCCACCCCAGGGTGGAAGGGAACTTGTCAGCAGGATGCCTCGGGGGCGGGGCTGGCAATGGGCCCTGCAGTGTGCCTGTGTCATCTTTGCCCGACCGGATCCTTCCTCCAGTGCGGGCTTAGCTGACCAGCAGAGATGCAGGGAGATGGATGGGTGGGAATGCAGAAGGGCCGCAGCCCAGCCTCCACTTCAGTGTCAGGTTCCTTCCACCTGCGCTGAGACCAGGCTTCTCGGCAGACCTGACTGCATGCTCAGTCTGAGCACTGCCAGGGCCCGGCCAATGGGCCTCTCAGGTGCCCTCTTCCCGCACCCTCCCTGGGCAACACCCTCCAGACAGCGGAGCGCTCACAGCAGTAACACAGTCCAGGGATCAAGCTCTGTTGATGGACTGTTTGGAGTGGGGCCGGTGCGGGGGAAGGGGGGGCCGGTGTTAGTCTCTAAAAACTCTGAAAGTAGATGGATGCAAAGCCCTAGCCAGTTTGGCTCAGTGGATAGAGCGTTGGCCTGCAGATCGAAGGGTCTCAGGTTCGATTCCGGTCAAGGGCATGTACCTCAGTGTCAGGCTCCTCCCTGGTCAGGGCTCATGCAGGAGGCAACCAATCGATGTGTTTCTCTCACATTGATATTGCTTTTTGTCCTTCCCTCTCTCTTCCACTCTCTCTAAAAATCAATAAAAAAAAATTCTTGGGTGAGAATTAAAAATAAAAATTTTTTAAAATGAAAAAATAGATACAAAAATCTTAATCTGCAGTTTTTGGCAGGGAAAGGCCTGCCTAGGCTTTTCATGGGAGACTTAATATGCTTCCCAACCCTAAAGGTGTGAGAACTACAGGTTTGGTGCAGCCCCTAACACCCCCTTTTAAGAATCATCCCTGAAGCTTCCGGTCAAGATAGCAGAGTAATGCCCTTTAAAAAACGCCCCCTGGTACTGCTCTGTGTGGGCTGTCAGGTGGACGACTGTGCAGAGAAAGGCGGATATCCAGGGAGCTGATTTTTATGCCTCTTGGCACAAAATCAACAAGATGAACTTGATTAGAATTTCTATTTAGACTGGAAAGAGCAAGCATGTCAGCTCAGAAGCCACACAGCCCCGGGGGCCCAGGGGTGAGCTTGGGTCAGCACAGACGTGCCTGGCCAGGCCTCGCACTCTGCACTCTGGTCTAGGCTCACACCGCCCTGCCTCGCTCGTCCCCCTGGGTCATGTGCTCAGGATGGGACTGCTTTGGGGCAACTCCATCCTCCCCTTGTTTAGCGATCTGGCCTCTTTGATATTCCAGCCACCACCTATTACGCAAGAGCATGAACTCAGGGGCCCTGGTAACACATGAGGCAATGTGCCGTGAAGTGACGAGCCAGACTTCTGCACAGGAGGGAAGGTGGTGCTGTTGCCTGGAGAGCTTGCGTCATTTGGAAGCAGTGGCTTATTAGGGCAGCTGAGGAAATGCTGGCTCTGATGGAGAGGCAGCCCCAGCCAGCTGCCACAACCTTCTCCCAGTTGGGAACGTGAGACTGATCTGAAGCCTCTGGCTGCAAGTGATCCTGAGCCTGGCGCTGTGCCACCTCCCTGTTGGGTTCACAGCAGTACCTGCCAGGCCCACTGGGACTCCTGGCCCCTCCGCCTTAATCCTGCAAAGCCAGCGCTGGCCCCTCAGAGGGGAGAACGTGTCCCCTGGATCCCACTGCACCCAGCATAGGAATGAGCCCGGGTGAGCAGGTGGGGCGGGGAGAGTGAGCCGGGGCAGCAGTGCAGGCGGAGAGCGGGGAAAGCACTTGTCTCCTTTATTGAACATCTGCAGGGCACCTCGGCCCTGACCGGACAGCAGGAGGAAGAACAGGCAGGCAGCGGGGGTGC